TCTCTGGGTGATGCCCGAGTCAGAAAAAGGAGTCGAAAACGGTAGAGACCAATTCAGAAAACCTAGATGACCGAGTCAGAAAGTGGAGAGGCCTGAGTCGGAAAACGGGGGCTGCACGAGTCGGAGAGCAGGGCTAGCGAGTCAGAAAACAACACAGAGGCCCTAAACCCTAAACCCAAACCCCAAACTCTAAACCCCTAAACCCTAAACCTAGGAGGGGGTGTCGGCAGATGTTTTCGACTCGGGGTCTCCCTGGTTTTCGACACGAAGCCGTGGCGTTTTCGACTCGGCGGGCTCGACTCGAAAGCAGATTTGCTGACTTGACAATCACTCATCCCTTAAGCCTTGCTGTGCGATTGCGTGTCTGTAGATGTCCACCGGTCTGGACTCGAGCAGTAGCAATGCCCTTTACCACGCACATGCTGCAGTCAAGCCGGTCCTTGCTTCAGCAATCAGATATAGTCAACAGCCAGCACAGATGCTTTGCTTTAAGCAGAACCCTACAGCACGTGCGAGTTGTCAGACTGACCAAGTTCATGTCCTACTCCTCCTGGTAGCGATCAATTTACACGTCATCCGGGCTCGGCCAGTATGTTCTCAAACACAACGCCACAGCGACCGTGCAGAGCAGAAATAGCAGAAGAGCACGTGCGCAGCAGAATGGGCCCTCACCGGTGCGTGGAGCATCAACGATCATTGAACTGGACTTGGGGAACCCGGACATGACTGCAATCTGGTTGGCCTTTCGCTTGATTCCAGCTCAGAAGCAGGCGGAGGCCATCATTCCATGTCTGCTCATCTGGCCAAGCTTGCAGCGCTGAAGCAAACTCTCGCAACCCGTGGCCAAGCTCTGGCCAGTCAATGGATCAAAGGTTCAGGATGTGCATATCACAGTGAGAACTGACTGAGCCTACTCAAGGCCGTCCTACAAACGCGGTGGAAGGCAGGCGAATGGAATCTGCCTGGTGCGAAGAGGGGAAGAAGAAGTCCGCCTCCGCAAACCTGGGCTCGCACAGAGGCAAGTCGGCCTAGCTCTTTCCGTACCCGGCCTCGCAGATGGATGCGTTGGTGATGTTTATGCATTGGTCCGCAGTGACACTCATTTCGACACCTCAGAGCAAATAAACGGAGACTGTTCAGGGCCCGCCTTGCTGTGCGCGCTAAAGGTCCAGCTCTATCTGCAACTTGCAGAAGGAACGGGATCGGACTTCCCGCTTGAACCGAAAGCAAAGCCCAGGAGTTGACACAGCTGAACTTCACTGCATTTACTACCAGGCACTCCAGTCAACCACGAGAGGCTCGGTGCCTTGTTTTGCTTGTGCCGGACGAATCCAGACCGATCAACTTGACATCCACATCCCGTTTTGAGATGCAGCTGTTGTGCAATTCTGTGAAAAAGCGTTGCTAAGTAACTTCGTTGGCGACCCTCTCCCTGACCTGCATGCTACCAAGCAGAAAGCAAATTTGAGGGATGAGTCTTTGGCCTGTTCGGCTCGACTTCGTAGCATATTGCTCTCAAAGTCCAGGTGACTGCCTGAGAGTGGGCAATGCGGAGTTTCGCTTGCAGATTGCAGCTCTAGCTAGCCTCGGTCTTTCAATTCGGTAAGCTTTCTCTCCAATTCCTGAAAGTTGGTCTCAATCTCGTGATGTCTGCAGCAGTCTGCATCCCTGCCCGGCACACAACTCCTTGCGCTCGCCGCTCAAGAGAGCCAGAGTTCCTCGATCGCGATCCTCGTCATCCTGCTCGCGTGCCGCATGATGCTGGCATGCACACAAGGGTAAGAAGGGACAAACAGGGACAGGGGTCTCCGGCAACCGGCCAACTCCACCACACAGAAGGGGCGGATGGCGGGCTGTTTGGTTATTCGGTTGGTAGGTACTTAACTACTAAGTCACTAGCGAGCTAGCTGGCTAGCTAGCTAATTAGGTAGTTAGTTCGTTCGTTAGCTAGTTAGGGTTGGTTAGTTAGCTGGTTAGGTATGTGTTTGTTTGCCTTACACTCACATACATGTACATATGTATATGTCACACGAAAACAAAAAACACAAGCCGACCTCGGGTGAGAGGATGGTTGGGAGCTTGAGGATGGCACTGCACGTCCGACATTTAACTAGTCATTGACCCTCATCACTGCCGTAGTTGCTGCTATGTTCAGTGTGAGCATTATAATTCTTCAAAAAGGTCCTACTGTAAAAAGATGGCCACTTGTGAAGATGTTATCTGACAACCTGATAGTGATTGGACTTACAAGTACAAAGCATCGCTACCTAGACTTTTAGACACCATCATGGCCCGAGCATATCCGCCACACTCAATCTAGGCAGTTGTACAGTCATGGAGCCTCATACACAACCAAATCACTGCACGCAGCAAAGAGCCTCGCTATTTCGCCGGAATGTCTCGAAATCGTGTCTTACCTGCCATGATAAGCATGGACGCTCTTGAGCCGCCCGTTCACACATCAGTCTGAGCCACGAGCAACTTCCAGATCATCCCGTAGGAGTGCCAGATCTTCCATGGATCTGCAGTGTGCATGCAGAAGCTGTTGCGTCCAGTCTGCATGGCCCCTGCTCACACCTTCGCAAGCCCGCTTGCAGCTTGCTGTACTCCTGCGCGTGGTCCAGCAGTTGATCCTGATTGGGTGTTGCAAAGCTGCGATCCGCTCTTCAGCTCAGCCGTGCTTCAGGCTAGCTGGGCTTTCGGCGCGAGCAGCGGCGATGTTCCCTCGGTAGCGGAGCTCCCGGTCCTCTCTTGCGCAAAGAGGGGCATGAAACGGGCGGGGCTCGTTAGGTCCTGGAAGCCTTGCGCGATCAAGTCTGTGCGATGGATGGTCTCCTCAGCCGCCTGCGTAATTCCCCGAAGGCCCTCGAAAAGTCGCAAAGCAACGTGAACCACAAAACACACGAGACGGACTCGACTGCTCTGTCACACAGCATTTTCGCATCGTCTCTGCGACGCCGGTTGGCTGTCAGGCGTTCCCTGTGCCTGTACTTTGACAGTCTTTGTGTACGGGAAGTTATTCTTCTCAAGTACATGGGGACGAATCGAATTAGGCGGCTAGGCGCGGCGTGGATCAGCAAAGGATTCATGAAAATCCTCCACGGTTTCCTCTTCCTCTAGAAGACCACCTTTGATACAGGCTTGTCTACAACCGCCAAGCACATGATATGGATTTAGTTGCTGAGGGTGGGGCTCATTTCCAATCTCCTGATGCGGTTCACCTCGATCTGGATTTCCTCTACAGCCTGCCCTCTGCGACCCTCTTCGCAGGTGTCGCAGCGAACCTTTCATGCGACTGGCAATCACTGGCAACCAGCAGCAACACGTCGGCATCTGCATCACGAAAACAAATTGCACCCTGCCTGTCGAATCTCGAACATGGCACCTGGATGAATCAATGGCATCCTATCCGCTGCAATGCAGCAATGCAGTACAAGCTCACCGGCTGGCAAAAGGAAGCTGTTTTCAAAGCCAAGCCCGCAGCGAACAATGCGTGGCACATTCCAACCCCTGGCGGCCGCCAAGCCTATGCCAGGTTGTCTCAACCAGCTGCACCAAGTTCAGCTGGCAATTTCTGCCTGTGACTGGCACCGCTAAGCCGGCACAAAGACAGAGAAAGATCACGTGAGAGGTTGCTCCTGGCCGTTGTGCAGAAAGCGGCACTCAGCGTCAAAGGCCTACCGTGCCTTGACTGGGAGACTGCGCCGTCAGTGGTCGCAACCTCCAACATGGTGCTTTTTGATCGGGCACACAGCTGTAGACAAACCGGCCTGCCATCAAAATGTACCGTTTCTGGAAACGTGTCCAAAAGCATATCCTGCATCAGCAGGCCCAGCTTCGACCCGGCTTCCTGCCACTGGGCCACAAGAACTTCTTGCTCTGAATGCTGAAAGCTATTGCTTCAAGGCCGTTTTCCGTGTCTCCAGCAGCAATTTTGTTGCTTCCCCCGAAAGCAGAAAGCAATTGGAATATATCTGGCTTCTTTTGAGATTGGATTGGCTCAAAAACCGCGCGGTTAGTTTTAGCCAGGTTTTGGTTGTATTTAGTAGAATTAGAATTAGAGTAATTTAATTGAAGCCCAATGCATAATTGCCCACCCCTCCCCAGCACCACTCCGCCCCACCCAACCCCACTTGGCCCCACCGCGCGGTTAGTTTTAGCCAGGTTTTGGTGGTATTTAATAGTATTAGAGTAATTTAATTGGAGCCCAATGCATGCCCAACCCCTCCCAAGCACCACTCCGCCCCACACTTGGCCCCACCGCACGGTTAGTTTCAGCCAGGTTTTGGTGGTATTTAGGAGTATTAGAGTAATTACATTGGAGCCCAGCACTACTCCGCCCCACCCAACCCCACTTGGCCCCACCGCGCGGTTAGTTTTAGCCAGGT